GGAGCTTTTTCTTTCTTTTTGAACTATTTTTTTATATGTCTGAGTGTTTTACCGATGTGTGCTATGTGTATTTGGTGGCCTTGGAGGTCAGAAGAGGGCAACAGATTCCCTGGACCTGGAGTCACAGATGGCTGTGAGCCAAATTATGAATGCTGGGAATTGAACCCAGATCCTCTGGAAGAGCAAAACCATCTCCCCAGATCTCCCTTTTATTCTTTTTTGTTGTTGTTATTGTCTTTTCACTCATAATTAAAGCAACTCAAATGTTAGTAGTGCACACACTACTATCAGCAACCCTTTACATCATAAAATGCTTGGCATGCAAAAAAAAAAAAAGTCATTCAATTTTATTGTTTGTTCCTGGTTATCACTATGTTCTCTGCCTTTGGTAGTCATTGATTTTTCCGATATTGTTCTAACAGCAAGTTAACACTGGGGATCATGCCTGGGGCACCAACAACCATTCTAGGTAAGGAAAATAACACCACAGCCCCTACAGCCTAGTCCCTCTTATTTTTTTGACGTTTGTTTAAATTGTATGTGTGTGTGCAGGCACACATGCACACACATGTGAGTTCAGGTGGCCTCCGAGTCCAGGGATGATGGTTGAAGCCTCTGAAGCTAGGGTTATGGGCAGTTGTGAGCCAGCTAACATGAGTACTGGGGACTGGACTCGGGTCCTCTGCAAGAGCAACATTCTTAACCACTGAGCTGCCAGTCCCTGACCAAGTCCCTCCTGAATAGTGCAAATACTGCCTGTAAAATAACAGTGATGACTTTTAATAAATCAGCATTTAAAAATTAATAATTTCAGCCAATGACCTAACTCCAGATAGTCAAGTCCCAACACAAAAACATAAATAACATGGGAAAAAAAGGCAATATAAATCCTCCAAAAGTTGTCAATACCACAGTAATGGCTTCCAGTGAGAATGATTTAGATGGAATCTCAGGCAAAGAATTCAAAAATAATTATTACAAATATGCTCAAAAGTATTTTTAAAAGAAAGAAAATAAACTTCAGAATGAATTCCAAAGGACACAAGCAGCTGGATGAAGTAAAAAAGTCAATAAAAGCTATAAAAGAGGAATTCAATAAAGAGTTCAAAAACTTGATGAAAATCCAAACTGAAATACTGGAAATAAAAAACACAGCAAGTTGAACGAAAGCTCCATAGAAAACCCCACCAACAGATGGATCAAAAAGAAGACAGAAGATCTGAGATTGAGGACAAGGAAGGAGTTAGAACATTCCAACAAGAATAAAATCAAGCCAGGCGGTGGTGGTACACACCTTTAATCCCAGCACTCGGGAGGCAGAGCCAGGCGGATCTCTGTGAATTCAAGGCCAGTCTGGTCTAAGAAGGGAAGCCCGGGGTGGGTCCAAAACCACAAAAAAAAATCTGTCTCAAAAAAAAAAAAAAAAAAAAAAAAGGCTGAGGATTGGATTTAGCTCAGTGATAGAGCGCTTGCCTAGCAAGCACAAGGCCCTGGGTTTGGTCCTCAGCTCCGGGGGGAGGGGAGGAGAATAAAATTAAAATAATAAGAAGGTATGAGGGCTTTGCAAAATATTTGAGACAGTATGAAAAGAACAAATCTAAGAAAGAGAAGAATTTCATTCTAAAAGCATAAAAATGAAACAAATCATGGCAGAAAATTCCACAAAATTAAGGAAACCGATGCCAAGCCAGACAAGGAAGAGAGAATTGCCCCCATCATGTTACAGCTAAGCCACTAAGTACACAGAACAATGAACATGTGCATTGAGTAGCAGGAAGAGGCCAGGCATGGTGGTGCACACCTTTAATCCCAGCAGAGGCAGGCAGATCTCTGGGAGTTCGAGGACAGCCTGGTCTACAGAGTGAGATCCAGGACAGCCAGGGCTACACAGAGAAGCCCTGTCTTGGAAAAGAAAAAAAGAAAAAGAAAGAAAGAAAACAAGAAGAAGAAGGAGAAGGAGAAGGAGAAAAGGAAGGGAGGGAGGGAGTGAGGGAGGGAGGACAGAGATAGAGAAAAAGAGAGAGGAAAAGAAAGAAAGAAAGAAAGAAAGAAAGAAAGAAAGAAAGAAAGAAAGAAAGAAAGAAAGAAAGAAAGAAAGAAAGAAAGAAAGAGAGAGAAAGAAAGAAGAGAGAAAGAAAGAAGAGAGAAAGAAAGAGAGAAAGGAAGAAAGAAAACAGAGCAGAAGAGAGGTACAAAGCCAAGTCTACACAAATAAAATCCCATCAGAATAGCAGCTGATGATTCAGCTCAAACTTCAAACTCTAGGAGAGCTTAAGAAGGGCACGTTTCAAGTTTTGAAAGACAACTACCAATCCAGACTACTATCCTTAGCAAAGCTCTCTGTCGTAACTGATAAAGAAAGAAAACCAGGCCAAAGGAACTCATAGCTGCCCGGACACGAAAGGAACTCAACTGTACTTTTGCGGTGTTTCTGTTTCGTTCTGCTTTGGGGGAGGGAGGTTGTTTTGCTTTTGAGTTTTCTGTTATATTTTTGTCTCGTTGGTCTTTTGCCTGTTTTGATCTTTAACTTGATCATTTAATTATGGGTTTTGTCCAGAGGTGGGGTTGTTTCTCACTCTTTTGTTGTTATTTCTGTTTTTTTAAAAAAAGAATGTAAAGTTGGGTGGGTAGAGGGGTGAGGAGAATCAGAGAAGAATTTGGGGAGGGGAAACAAACATGATCAAAATATGGTGTACGAAAAAACTTTAAATTAGAAAAAAAAACCTGTTACAGAGGACCCAAGTTTGGTGACCACATTAAGCAGCTCCTAACCACCTGTAACTCAGCTCCAGGAAATCTGATGCCTGTGGCCTCTGCGGGCACTAGAGTTCAAGTACACACACACACACACACACACACACACACACACACACACACACACTCAAAATTAAAAATAATGAAACAATTGTTAAGACCAAATCACCAAAGTGGTGTGCACCTTCAATCCCAGCACATGGGAGGCAGGAAGATACAGATCTCTGTGAGATCTGTTCAAGGCTAGCCAGGGCTACACTGTGAGACCCTATTTCAAATAAATAAATAAATATTCATGAGATCTTAATAATAATAATAATAATAATAATAATAATAATAATAATAATAATAAATAGCCTAATGATGCACCTCAAAGTCTTAGAAAAAAAACAAGAATAAGTCTAATGCACCAGTGAGGGGCTGGGGTGTAGCTCAGTGGTAGAGCCCCTGCCTAGACTCCCCTAGTGAGGGGCTGGGGTATGACTCAGTGGTAGAGCCCCTGCCTAGAATCCCCCAGTGAGGGGCTGGGGTGTGG